TTGGGATCTGTAATATTTTCTAATGTTTTAAAAGAAGGCTCTTCTGCTCAGCAAGGCTGCTTTTATTTGTATAGTAAAAAATACATGCCTGATCGAAGAAGGGGGTCTGATCTTATTAATTTTAAGTTAAATTGTGCTATGTTGGTATAATGTCTGCTAGAATGAAAAATAAAATGTTCAGTGTTAAGTAAATATTTTTAAATTGTTGTTTTGTAATTTATTTTTTATTTGAAAAGCAGGACAAAACAGTAAAAAGCACATTTTGGCAATTTAATTAATGCAATTGTGAAAAAAATGGCAAAATAGGCCTACGTGGGGGGAAAATGTGAAAAAGCGTATTAGAAACCGTTAAGAGTTGATCGAAATAATTACATTCATTAAAAAGCTGAGATTCTAAGCTTTAAAATTATAAAACCTATTTTGTGTTATTACGTTCAGGGGTTGCTTAAGTAACTTGATTTTGAATTTTTTTGTGCGGGTGGTGTCCCGCCGGTGGGACACCTCGGGTTTAAAGGGTTAAACATTCTAATATTGTATATAATTTTGGTGCATCAGGGAGCCGTTCTCAGGATGCGGTGTATTTAAATATTTTTGAATGAGCGTTTGCGCTGTTTTATCTCTTGCAGCGTCTCATGCATGAAACGGCATTCTAAAAACGCGGCGCTCCAAGTTAAAAGAAGTTCACTCCCAGCTTCTTGCATGTTTTACCTATTCCACTGCCCACGTCACATCTTTGTCAACACAAAAGCGCGTTCTGCTTTTGAAACGTTTTTAAATATAAAAAAAATGAAAAAGATTTTTTAAATATATTTAAAAAAAAAGATTCATGAATTATTAATTGTGACCCTGCACTGTAAAAAATGACCGTGAATTTAACGGTAAAAGACTGTAAAAATGCTGCAGTAAAAACCTGTTAAATGGTTAACGGTAAATTCCCCTACTATATACGGTGAAAAACTGTATTGGACATTACATGTAGCTGCCGGTTTTTTACCGTAAATTTTACGGAATTTTTTTTACAGTGTGGACCACAAAATCAGTCATAAGTAGCATGGGTATATTTGTAGAAATAGGTAACAATACATTGTATGTAAAATTAAATTATAAATTTTTCTTTTATGCAGTCATTAGGATATTAAGTAAAGATCATGTTCCATGAAGATATTTTGTAGATTTCCTACCGTAAATATATCAAAACTTAATTTTTGATTTGTAATATGCATTGCTAAGAACTTCATTTGTACAACTTTAAAGGCAATTTTCTCATTATTTCGATTTTTTTGCACCCTCAGAATCCAGATTTTCAAATAGCTGTATCTCAGCCAAATATGGTCCTATCCTAACAAACCATACATCAATGGAAATGTAGCTTTCAGATGATGTATAAATCTCAATTTCAAAAAATGTACCTTTATGACTGGTTTTGTGGTCCAAGGTCACAATTAATAAATATTATTAATCTTTTCGGGAGTCAGAATGCATACTTCTGCTTGTTTCAAAGCACCACATGACTTAAATTTTTCAAATATCAATAAGCAGTTTATTAATATAAGAAATAATAATGGACAATTATACCAAACTACTTAAGGTCTTCTTTTCAAGTTTTTGTTAAATAAATATTAATTTAAATAATAAAATAAAATAATAGATACGAGCATCATGTTACTGACCCAACTACTTGAAATCCTTCCCATCTCTCTATACTTTGTGGTCAAGTTTTACCTTCCTCTGCTGATCCATTCATCATGGCTGTTGTAGCACCAGCTGCAGACAGCATGATAGCTCCAGCCCTATCATCGTGGCTACGGCAAGCATCTGCCATTATGGACACCGCTTGCGTCGACACAATCTCATCCTCCACCTCTTCATCCTCTTCACCATCCATTTCAGGTGGGGGTTCACAGCTTACCACAGTCACTTGGGTACACTTCCCATAGAGGTCCACCACGGCCCATAAACGGGAAGGAAGTCCACTTGCCGCCGTGCCACAGTCCTGCCCGTTCACCCACAGATGCAGCTCTCCTTTCCCATTCCGCTGGATCCCCACATGGTCCCCTTCCCCCAGCTGGTCCAGGTCACGACCGTACTCCTCCAGGACTGAGCGGCCGTCCTTTAGCACAGAGCAGCCGGACACGATCCACGAGCCCCCCTTCAGGCCTGTGGCACTGCTGGGAAATTCTAGACCGGCTGGGTCCAGCGCAGTCACTCCGATCTCTATAGAACCGCTCCACGAATTCACCTGGATCAAAGGGAATAGAAATGTTAGTCTTCGTCAGTTAGTCAATCCCTTTATGACTCTTTATAAATAATCTCAGAAGTCTCAGAACCATGGTACATGGTGAGCCATGGTGCTCAAATGAGTGCCACAAGTTCAAGCCAGGCCTGCAACATATTATGGTCTTTCTCAATAACTTTCTGTCTAATAAAAATAATTTTAAAGGTAACTTATTAGGCCTATTACCTTTAATGTATAATATATATACTCAATGTTTGGGTTTAGTATGTTTTTTTTTTTTGTTAATGTTTACTTATATTTAGCAAGGATACATTAAATACATGTATAATATTACAAAAGATTATTAGAATGATTTCTGAATGATTATGTGACACTGAAGCCTGGAGTAATGGCTGCTGAAAATTCAGCTTTGCCATCACTGGAATAAATTGCACTTGAAAACATAATGCCTTTTTACTGTAATATAATTTTACAATATTACTGTTTTTGCTGTATTTTTAATCAAATAAATGCAGCCTTGGTGAGCATTTAAAGAGATTTATTTCAAATATTTTTGAGTGGTAGTGTGTACAGGTGCATCTCAATAAATTAGAATGTCGTGGAAAAGTTCATTTATTTCAGTAATTCAACTCAAATTGTGAAACTCGTGTATTAAATAAATTCAATGCACACAGACTGAAGTAGTTTAAGTCTTTGGTTCTTTTAATTGTGATGATTTTTGCTCACATTTAACAAAAACCCACCAATTCACTATCAGAATATATATATGTGTGTGTGTGTATTGTAAAAACAAAGATAAATCACATTTACAGTAATCCACAATTGAAGTCTACAGAGAAGACACTCAAACCAAAAACATGAAAATTATAAATTAATAATAATTACAATGATAACAATTACATATTAATTCTCTTCAAAATTGTATTACAGGAGATATAAAAGCTGTCTAAATCATCCTTTTAGTTGTGGGACTGTTCTAGTTGGACAAACTTTGTTATCCATCCACTAATGAACTTCCTGCATGTGGAGTTAGCTCCAATGTAAACAGTCATTTGTAGATGGGTACTTCCCTTTCTGGTATACTCTCGCACATATGAGCATTTCAGAGTCAACACAGGAAAGTCTTTTAGCTACTTCCTATACATTCAAAACAATATTTTAATGTTTACTCGAGGACATAGCTTTGTCCAACAGACTTCCATTTCAAGTGCAAGCCATGATTCCTCGAGGGCAGAATTGAAATTATTTTCATTGGTAACTAACATCATGCCACAGGTGCCACTGATTGAGCTAAACCCAGAACATTCAGTTAAACAGATCTCTATCTCTCACACTGAAATGTTGTCTCTAGCTTTTGCATAATCACTGCATTCCTCAAATTTCTTTATGTGTAGAGGTCGACCGATATGGGTTTTTCACTGGCCGATGCCGATATTTAGAAATCAGGGCAGCAAAGTATAAGCTTTTGGAAAATCTATTTGTGGCGGTCCGTCTGTAGGGCTGTCACGATTATGAAATTTGGCTGACGATTAATTGTCTAAAAATGGGCACTACAGAATATCAATACTGTGTTTGTGGAAGTAATGGTCACTCTTTTAAACCCTTTGTTAAACGCAATCCACTAAATACTCACTTCCTCATTACAGAGAAAAACTACATTTGAATAAAAATATAGAAGCTATGAAATTAAACTAGCTGACTGTATAATTTAGCAGCAAAAACAATATCTTGGGAAAAAAATCTTTGGTGCACATTATACAATTTAAACATGTTTATTCTGTTAACTATTTGTATTCTTACAAAATACATTTGCCAGACTGGGGAGAGAGGTGTTGTAATAATGTAAAATATGTGAAAAATACAACCTAGTATGAGAGCATGTTCTAGTACACCCCCAAAACAAAATCAAGACTTTGTAAAAGAGCATAATAGGACCCCTTTAAGAGTGCGCTGGCCACGAGCGATGACATCGTGGAGGATATTGTTGGACCCACAGACACATTTCATGAGGAAAGTTATCGTGCACGTTATAATCAGCCCAGAAGTTTCGTCTGAATTGCATATGTAGCTGAAGCTGTGTGTGAACAAGAAGCAGCTGCAGAGTGTGAGCTGCTATGTCTCACGCAGCCAGAGAGAAGCTGCGTCCGAAATCGCATACTTCCATACTATACAGTAGGCGAAAAACAGTATGCGAGGCGAGTAGTATGTCCGAATTCATAGTATTCGAAAAACAGTAGGCGAGAAGTACCCGGATGACCTACTACTTCCGCCCGAATTCCGTAGCATGCATACGATGGACACTTTACTATCCCATGAGGCCACGGGAGAGGAGGCGTCATATTCGAAAATGGCGGAAGGCGGCGACGCGGCTCTTTTCAAGTGTAAGTACCTCAGGGAAAAACGTTGTTCATTGTGGTTAAATTGCACTTGTTTAACATGATCTAAGTGAACGGCTGACTTATTGAAAGTTTAAACATTGTAAATCGATGAGATGATTTCGTGAATCGGCTGTAAAAAGATGTTTAATCATTGTTATTACTGAGCACATCAAGTTAACGAACAGATCGAGCTAGTGTCAATGCTGTTGTACATCACCTTGTTAACTGCTTTTTTAACGGAGACGTTCGTTGTTAAGCAGTTTAATGAGATTAGAAAATTCCACGGACTTTAAAACATTTTTTCCCCTCTTTTACTAATATTTAGTTGATATTTTGTTAGCTACATACTAAGCTACTGTTAATACATATGCCACAGCTTGTCAATGTAGCATTAATGGATTGATAATGACTAATGGTTACTGCTTTGACATTACAGGGACCGACGAACACACTCAGCTCCTTATTCAGTGAAGAGTGGCTAATGAAGCCCTCTTCACTGGAAAGCGTAATGCTGCCATCAAAGGTTTTGAGTAAGTAAACAAGTTATGTAAAATGTGCTTTTATTCAGGTGCTGTTGACACTGAACGTAGTAAATACTAACACTTCAAGCAAAGGTCTTACTGCCTTCTTTTTATGCTTGATTTCTGTGCATTTATTGTGACAGAGCAGGGACTTGAGGGCAAAATTTCTGCTGCTCAAGTCAAAAGAAAGTGGGAGAACCTAAAACAAAAATATAAAGTAAGATTATTTTTTTTAATTAGACTATATAGAACGTACTTTTTTAACGGTCGAGTAGTACGTTGAAATTCAAATCTAGTACCTACTAAGCAGTATGCGATTTCGGACGCACTCAGAGATTCTCCGGCGTTCCGCAACAACGCTTAGCTGCCCGCAGATGCGCCTGCCTATAAATCGGCCTAATTTGCAGCACAATCGGCCGATGCCGATTAATTAAAAAATGCCAAAAATCGGCCGTTTGATCGGCTGGCCGATGAATCGGTCGACCTCTATTTATGTGGATGGTATGTAGGCTGTCAGTGCAGCAGTACCGTGTGTATCTGGGTTAAGGCAGGCTGAGGAGAGGGACAGGCGGCACTGAATGTGATAAAGTTATTTCTCTAATCTGGTTACATAAGTGACCAGTAATCTGTCCATTGTCCTTTTCCCCTCTGTCTAGAAGTGAGGAAACAGTAAGACTGAAAAAATACAGGAAACTGGAATAATATCAGGGAACAATAGGAATAATATTGTTTTGCTGTGCGCTTCCTTTCTCAAGCTTCAAAAACTGAAAGTCATTTCTTTTAAACATTAGGTGCAGACTATCGTAAAATTGTTTAGGCTGCATTTTATTCGACCAAATCTGACTAAAACATTTTCTCTCCTGAAAACATTTTGTGTAAGAGCTGACTGGATGCAAGATGATGTCAAAAGCATAACAAAAATATACAGAATCAAATTATAAATGTAAATTATAACTATGGCAGTATCATGATTTTAATAAAAATTAGATTATTGGGTCACAATTACTAGTAATTGCATGGATTATTTCGCATTTGTACGCACACGTCTCACTAAAAATTACAACACTTAATTCACAACATGTGCATAAGCACATGAATTTGTTCTTAACCTTGTTTTAATTTGAATAAATTTGGAGTATTCTACATAAGTGATGATGTTCCCTTTATTTACTCTCAGCAAACATATGACACTCTCTAAAAACGCTCTTGCCTGACAGCATGCGAAGCAAGATCCTTAAGCAATGCCAAGTGTGCCATCCTCAAAAGCAGTTCAAACACAATAAACATTTTAAGACAGACCCAGATTACAGACCTCTCATCTTCACAGCTCAAACGATAATGCAAGCTTTCCTTACTTTTTCACTGTAAATTATTAAATATATTAAAGATGAAATACCCACGTATAAAATGTCATCCTAACATGATAATAAACCCCAGAGTATGGCTGAATCCGAAATCGCATACATCCTGACAATATAGTAGGCAAAAAACAGTATGTGAAAAGAGTAGTATGTCCAAATTTACAGTATTCATAAAGCAGTAGGCGAAAAGTTCCCAGATGACATACTAGTAGTTTGGGTGAGATTCTGAAGTGCACATTCCATGGACACTTTACTATCCCATGAAGCCATGGGAGAGGATTTGTGAACCGCAGTGAAGCAATGCAACTGTCACATGACAATGACAACATCCATAAATTCATACTATACAGAACAAACTCTTTTACAGTCACAAACTAATTAACTACTAAAGAATGTGATTTCCAGTGTGCTTTTTCCTTAAGTGCGGTTTCAGTTGTTCCTACATTTTTTCTGTGAATCATAATTTGCTTGCATGCGCATTTTCAGACGCTTAGTGAATGAGACCCATTGTGTTGCTTTGTTTGAACTTCTTTTTTCAAAAATCTTTCTGAAATGCACTCTTGTCTGTTCACAGTAACATGATCAATTCAATTATCATACACTGACAGGGTATGATAAAACAGGGTTTTAATATATAACAACATTATCCTGCTTTGGTGGTCAAAACCATTCCCAGTAGGGCTGCACGATAAATCGCATGCTATATTTAATGCGCATCTTGTTAGTAAAGCGGGTCTGTAATCAGGCGGTAAATCTCCATCACGTGCGTGCTTTCACATGGAGCAGCATTTACTACCCAGAGCCGTTGTTCACTGACAAGCTGCGCTAAACCATCTTCATATATGAACATTAAATATCGCATTCGATTTATCGTGCAGCCCTAATTTAATTCCCAGTGGTTCATCTTACCTCAGATGAAGTGATAATTGGTTGCCTTCTTATGCCCTTGAATAATCATTAAATCACCCATGGCATTATTATATTCACTATTAAAATCACAGCTTATACACTGCAAAAAGCAAATAGAAGTGGCAGCGGCAGCGGCAGTGTGAGAGATGCCCTGCTGTAAAGCCATATGGTACGTGAGCAGACAGCAAGGTCACTCTTAATTAAAAATCCATAGACAACAGTACAGACTACCGATATGACCTAAATGCTGCTCGGCTATCTATTGAAATGCATTAACAGAGTTAAAGGTAGAATTTCGTAGGTAAGAAAGGTCAAGCATGTTTACATGAATCAGCTGACTGTCTATCAGCCTTTAAATGTGTGGGAAAAAAACTGACTGACTAGAATCTGAGAGCTGAGAATGTCAAAGAATAAACTTTTCTTCATTATGTGTGACTTTATGTGTGACTTGTAAGATATTACAGTTTGATTTAAACTCTTTAATGGCTTCAAGGTTGATGTGAGGCTAACAAGCGGTATGTTATGACAATGAGCATGTGCATACAGGCAACAACTTCTCATTGTACAACATTACGAACACCTCAAATGTGAATTTTGAAGACGGTTTTTTGAAAAACACATGCTGTTAAGAAAATTGAGATACCAGTTGATCATGCGCAAGCTGAAAAAGGCATGATTATTATGTAAATAATAAATACTATGTATCTAGGCAGCTGTTGTCTTTGGTTTTGTGAACTGTCAAAAAGGAGAAGAAAAATGAAAATATTAATTTGATTATAATTTGTAGGGAAGATGTGTTTGATGCTTATGCAAAACTTCTATTCATAGATTTGTAAACATCATAATTTCAGGACCACTACTACAATTCATGAAGCCTGAGACAACGTTTTTGTGTGGCTCCCTTCTCCCACAGTCCCAAATGAGCAGGCTTCCCTCTGGTCACAGGAAACAACCTTCCCAGTTATTCTCTAGGACCATGCTATGCTTGCTTTGGTCATCTTGTTTTTGAACGAATCACCTGACTGCATGATTTAATGACTCACGACACGCGAAAAGACAGTCACTTGATATAACCTGCAGAAAGGGTCACTGAACTAATCAGTGAATTCAAAAGAATCGATTCACTGGAATTAATCAAAACCAGCAGCTAAGCTAAGGACACAACACACGGCGTGTGAACATGTTTACATGAGCTTCCAATTTAACATAATATAGTAGTATTTCACAAAAATATTCTGTGTATATGCAGACTGTTGTGATCACATGAGATTCATCTGATAGTGATGGAATCGCATGGAATGACAGTCCAGGAATAGCCAAGCAGACCAGCATCCAAACATCAACAGCACTGACAAACCATGACAGATGACCGCAAAAGCCGCAGCACACGCACGTCCTGAGACATCCACACACCACGCATGACCTATGAATAAGCTCTGACCGTGAACCACTGCAGACGATCTGACACACTCCCACCCTTTTCTCGATTTCTCTCTCTCTCTCCCTCTCTCTCTCTCTCTCTCTGGTGGGACATGCTTGTTTACCTTCTTGTCGATGCGGACAGTGAAGACATCTCGGTCCCGCAGCGGCTCCCGACTCAGGACCAAGCCGTGGTTGAATTCCTGTACCGGCTGATTCCGTTGAGCGGTTCGGTTGGAGTTCGACAAACCGATCAGTTTTCCGCTGCGCGAATGCAGCTCAGCCGCCATCTTCGCACGGGCGGCGCGGTGCACGACAGCGAGCTTCGTTTTGCGACAGTGGAGAGTCGCTTGTGGGCAACTCGCCATTGGGTCTGGGTATATTTGTCGGCATAAATAAATATCAGTGCACTGATTCTTGAGTGTGTAAATAGAATACAGCAAACGCGCACGAGCCGATAAAACTGGATAAATGTGCTGGAGGTAGGTAATATGTGAGTATACAGACAAATAAATACTCAAACGCCACAGTTCACAACATCACAAATTAAGTTAGTGATTAATTAAACAACTAGGGGTGTAACGGTACACGTATTCGTACCGAACCGTTTCGGTACGGGTCTTTCGGTTTGGTACGCATGTGAACTGAACGAATAAAGTTTTTTTTTTCTCCGGAAATTCAAATAATAAATGGCGTTTTGACAGTCTTTGATGTGGCATGACAGATCGCTGTATAAACACCTTGGAGAGCCGCTTCTGGGACGGTTCAGAAACGTGCTGGTATATAATCCCAACACAAGACTAAGAACATTTAAACTATAACTGAATGTATTTAAAGAAAGAGCAACTTGTTCAGTAAACCATTTAAAAAAAAAAGTTTTTCCCCCTGCTGTACCGAACTCATACCGAACCGTGACGTTAAAACCGAGGTACGTACCGAACCGTCATATTTGTGTACCGTTACACCCCTATAAACAACCCTCTCCCACACGAAGAACTCAGTTATATAATGACTTTAACAACTCTATCAAGACCTGTACTTGGGAATTGCCTAAAACCGAGTATTTTCTAAGGAAATTTAAACAGAAAACTGATGAATCTATTACTGGAATTAAAAAATAACCCAATTTTAAATTTGTGGAAACTGTACTACTTTTGTTGAAAAAGTCCTCTAGATGGCAGTGGATTACTGATAAACCTGCATAACAACAACTAATATATGACGTTCATGTAGCCAAAAACATTAGATGGGTGTTTATTAAACTTTTTGTGTTCTTTGAGTTTATTTATTTAGCATAATGATTACGTTTAAAATGTCCTTTTTAAATAAATCAATAAATAAAATTGTTCCAGGGGTTGATTTATTGTTACAGTTGAGGTCAAAGGTTTACAAAGGTGAAAACTTTTGAACAGAATGGAGTGAATTTTTAGTGACGTGACTTGGCCAAGTATGGTGACCCATACTCGGAATTAGTGCTCTGCATTTACCCATCCAAAGTGCACACACACAGC